TTGATACAAACGGCGTTCCATAACTTTCCCTCAAAAGTCTCATGAATCTACCTTAAGGTTAACGGATTAATGTTTATTGTTTTATTTAAATTTCTAATTTATTAAAGTGAGCTTCGCTTTTAGCCCTGGCTAAATCTATTCTCTATTTTCCAATTGCCCATAATACACTCTGTTTGCCCCCCAAATTTTGCATAACTTATTGTCTTAAAATGCTCTTGGGAAAATGCAATACTCCCAGGAGCATTTAAAAACAATGGTTTATGCAAAATTTGGGGGGCAAACAGAGTGTATTATGGGCAATTGGAAAACAGTCAATATATTATCATTGGAAAAAGGATAATAAAACGTTTCGCCCATCAGATCTAATAATTTCTGATAATTTCTTTATAAAAGGACACATTTTTACATGACTGAAATGCAAACAAATAGAGAAAAAGTGAAAACAGTGACCTTCTAAGATTTTGGGGTTGAGTTACGTCTATTTAGATAGCTTTTTGACACATTTCTGACCTTCGTTACCCTTGCACCGTAATTTTTAGGGTGTTATTACAACTCCAAAAATGGAGTAAAACTTTTAGGTAAAGGATAACCCCTTTTTGGGGGTTATTTAACTCCTAATTTAACTCCGAATTTGGGGTCATTTTTACTCCTGAAAAAGAGTTCTTTTTAGTCTCAGTCTTGAGTTAAAATAACTCCGAAATGGCGTTATTTTTACTCCTTACATGGGTTGTTTTTACTCTTTTTGGAGTTAATTTAACTCTGAAAGTGGAGTAAAACTTTTGGGTACAGGATAACTCCTTTTTGGGGTTATTTTAACTCCTCAATATCTGGGGTCACTTTTACTCCTGAAAAAGAGTTCTTTAAACTCCTTTTCGGAGTTAAAATAACTCCCCCAAAAATAACTCCACTGTAAGGAGTTACATTAGCCTCACTAGAGAAGTTGTTATAACTCCTTGAAAATTACTGTGTGTAGCTAACATGGTTCTTCTTTTTTTTTCCAGTTCCCGAAATCCGTGTCAAGCCAAATGATAAAGAAAATATTTATGCTAACGAAACGTCTGATATCAAACTTCCCTGCAACATCAAAACAAATGGAGAACAGTTTTCCTATCAGTGGCAAAAGGATAATAAAACGTTCCGACCATCAGATCATAGAAGAATGATTGTTAAGATTTACAGATGGTTAAAGATAAAGAAAGTCCGGAAAGATGATGCCGGCCTATACACCTGTGTTGTCATGAACAAGTGTGGCGAGAAGAGTTCTGTTTCGATGCACCTTTATGTACGCGAACGTAAGTACCTCATCATAGTCAGATCACTAAATGGGCAATCTTATGCCTCTTGTTTTGGGGCAAACACAAGTGTGATCTTTATTCAGACACTAAATTAACCCAGCGTAATCAGCATCAAAATTCTCCTTGTAATATCAATGCTTATTAAAACAGAGTGGTCGTGAGAATTACAGACATCATGACGCAAGATGAATGTGCTTTATATATTATCAACTACCCCTCTACTTCTGTAGGAAATGAATAGGGGCAACAAATGAGAATTCACTTTTGATCTTAGGGTTTAAAGGGTTAAGAGGAAGCTTTAAAGTGATCTGTCCGTTCTTAGTCTTCTTACCCCGATCTGGCTGTTATCGAAAAAGGTAAAGGTGGGGGGTGGGGGTTGGGGTGGGGATGGGGGCGCAATTTAATTTAACAGTCCCTCTTTATCTTTTGTAGTAATAAATTTTACGAATTAACTGACTGCGATAATTATTCTTGGTTTGCTTTTATAGTGCCTACACGCGATCCGAACAAGAATTTAACGCCAGGTAAGATTGAGATGTTAGAGCACAGTTTTCCTTGATTTGAGACCTTAAGCGTGGAAAGAAACTTGACGAATAAACTCTTATGGAATATTTCTATAATATGTTAAACACGAGGAGTGTTACCTCTGATATCCAAACAGAGAGAAATTAATCCGTTTATACATACCAAACATTCACCCGCTTTATAGTGGAACCAGTTTTAAATGGCACGCTTATGAAGACAATGGGCCTAAAGAAAGGAGATCTGGAACCAATAATTATACTGGGGTTTGGGACGACCGGAAAATTCGAAAATTCTCGGAAAATCCAAACGCTCGCCGAGAGTGTTGAGGCTCTCGGCGTCACACCTATAAGTATCTGCTATTTGGTTTTAACGGAAGTGGAGACTCAGATTTTAAATGGAAGTGCCCAAGTGCGACTTGCAGGTGAATCTAATTTGTCCTTTTAAGGAGAACAGATTCAAAAGGTCGATGCAAAATCTGTTTACATTCCGCTGCGCTCACTTACGAGATATCAACTTTGTTAAACACTTCTAGATAATGTCGTGCCCATGTGTCAAGCAATTTACCTATGTATTTTCCTATTTTCAAACTGCCTTCACGGAGATAACTATCTCTGTTTTCTTATCATTCAAGAGGATATTGAGAAACAAATGTCAACTACATTCGAACCTCCACGAGCGACCACCTCCCATAAGCGACCTCCTATCAACATAAACTGACACCAAAACTTTTCCAGTGAAAGCCTTTAGTTGGAACCTCTCGTCATAGAACACCTCCTGTAAGCGACCACGACATCTTTTCGGGGCTTACGGTTGAATAATTTTCCATTGTTTTTAACCTCGTATAAGCGAACATTTGACGCATGATCTGATCTCTATAGTATGTTTGCTGTATGCAGATGCTACTTACTGTATTCGAAGAACTTAAGTAACAACATGGAACTGCGCATATCGTAACCTTGGAAACTGCATGCATCTTACATAGGACATCCTCTTGGAAGAGAACCCCTGTGGTCTTTTCTCGTTAGCGAGCACCTCTCGTAAGCGACCACTGAGTCTTCGCATTTTGGATGGTCGCTTACGGGAGGTTTGAGTGTATCGTCCTTGTCTTTTTGTAGCTGCTCCGAGGTTCACTGTACCAAAACTCAAGCTTCAACAAAAGGTGATAGCCCTACCGGTCGGAAACTCCGCGAAACTTGACTGTTCCGCCGATGGATACCCTCGCCCCTGGGTTGCATGGTACAAGAATGGAAAACCGTTTACTGAGAGAAGAGGTAGCTGTCTGTACTTGGATTGGAAGTATGTGTTGGCTTTGAAGGATGTGGTTCCGTCAGATACTGGGACATACAGCTGTAATGTCAGTAACTATCTGGGTTGGATAAATCATTCATACCACGTTGATGTGCACGGTAAGGTTTTCATATAAAACGCCTGGAAAATGTAGCCTACGTCGCAGACGTAAGCTAACCTCGGTCTTTAACATCTGCAAGGCAGCGCCGAGATCCTTGTTTTGGGTCCTCAATGGACTCGACGAAGTACCGAAAGTACGTTTCGAATTCCCTTTCATCGTATTTGGCAAATCGACAATGGCATTTTTAACAGGCCAATCATGGCGCATACTCAAATTCTGGTACACCGGTGGGGCCCAGAACAAGGATATCGGCGCTATTTCGCAGACGGGCTTCACCAAAAGTTTAGTTCCGTGTGTGGCGCAGGCTAGGAAAATGATGAAAGAGACGTTTGTTAATTATTTGTTAGCCTCTCTATTCCATTCAACTTAGATCTTCCTTTCTTGTTCGAATTAGAATTGGCCGGAGAAGTTTCAAATTTTAAGGCCGCTTGTTGGGTTCAAAGTGGTCCCAAGTTATTAAAATAGTGTTCTGGAGACTGTAAATAAAGGTACCCCTCAGTAACGTAACAATTCTGGGCAATCGTTTCGAAGAGACACTCACTGCTGCTTACACACAGACGTCTCTTGTTTCCTAGCCCTTTCTGTCTCAGTCAGCTTAGTTACAGATATTTCAATTTGTAAGAGACTACGAATTATCCCTGAATGACAACACAGAACTTTGACAATTCTTTCCGTAGCTGACATACAGACGTCCCCTGTTTTAGGTAATAGTAATAGGAGACATCTGCACACAAGCGACATTAGGGACATTAGGGATCCAACGACGCGGTCGGCAACGAGGACGTCAAGAAAACAATAGGTTTAATAAGCAAAACAACAACTTTGCTCGTGCATCACAATTTTTTGTACATTTTTCTGCCTGTTTTTGCACGACTACGACGTGAAAATGCTTAATTTTTTACGGAAACAAGCAACGACGAAATTGTGTTTCTCTATCTGTACTTGGATACGGTCCCCAGGAATTCAACTCCAGGAGGGTTCGCCTACATTTGACAAAGTTAGTGGGTAGGAATAATTGCGATAAAGACTGAAAGAACGCAAATTCTTTTTTTAAGCGACGCTCTCGTTGCCGTCGCGTCATTGGATCTTAAAGTCCCTATTTTCTGGCGCTGGTTGGTTGAAAGCTGATAAGTAATTTACGCGTAGTTAGACAAAGAAAAGCGTAACCTGTCAGAAAAAAAAATTAAAAAAAATACTTTATTGACATCTTTTGTGTGAAACAATTATAAATCATCCGTCTGCTGTATGCCCTTTGCGGTAAAGCTGTAGTAGTTTTCAGTTCCGCAATGGTTTTTGTTAGTGAGGTGTAAACTACAAAAAGCTCTTCGTTTCAGAATCGAGAGACACTAAGGGCATAATGAGAGACCTGCGCAAAATCTTTCGCGTTTCTTTTGCGCTTCGCCTTGACCTTAAAACCCTCGCTATTTGCGATAATAAAGAGCTTAAAACAGTGAAAGGTTTGACCCAGGAGTCATTTCATAAGTAGATGGAGCATGACCGTCCGGGTGAGTGTAGTCCTGAATAGGACTCTTGCTGACAGTGACTGCTGTTTCGACGAAATGTGCGGCAGTTATTTTCAAAGTGAGCCGGGGGACGGGGGGTGTTTCATGTCACTTGATGGTATTTAACTCTGATTGGTGAATTAAGTCGCAATGTTTTTGGTTATCTGTCTGTTAAGTCGTGATCTTGTTGGCTATGAAGACTCTAAATTTGATTGGTACGTTTCGATTCGTCTTTACTCACACTTTTTTCAATCTTCTTTTATAATATCGGCATATCTGTGTTCTTCCTCCGTAGAACGAAGTCGTGCTAAGCCAGTGGTCCTTTCGATGTCAAACGCTACAGTTTTTGTCGCCGAAAACGTGACTTTGATATGCAGGGCATACAGCGACGCCAAGCCTCATTTCCAGTGGCTCCGTTGGTTTCTTTTACCTTCCAACAGCTCTGGTAATGACACTGATAGCAAAAAATTTTCGTATGAAGTCATAAATCAGAACCAGCAGGATTCCGTCAAGTACCAAAGCAGTGGCAACAACAAGCACGAATTCCATGGAGTCCCTTTAAGTTTGGTCAACGTTACAAAGAAAGATGAAGGAAAGTATACGTGCATTGTGGGGAATGCACTCGGTTATTCTGTAAAGCACGCTTACATCGTCGTTCAGGAAAAACTGGGTAAGATAGGTTCAATGCTAAAATGAATACATACCCTAAGTTAGTTCAATGTTCTTGATTGATAATTATACCTCTTAACCCTGCTATCTGTATTTACCTTATTCTTGTATTCTTGTCATTTATGTGCTCAAATGACCTTGAATTGTTTGTAAATGGGTGTCCTGAATATAATTAATAAGCCCCATGGTTTTCTATAGAGGCTGCACTGCCACCAGAAATTTGTCATTTTTTTTCTTGGTGTTAATCTCATAAATAAATAAAGTATAAGACATGGTTCCTGCTTGTAATGAATCATCCAACAAAAAAATAACTCTTTGACGGTTATGTAAGACTTAATGGACATAAAACCTGAAAGAAAAAAAAAATGTAATACGCGTTATGTTTTACTATATGCCTTCCCAACCGCTTCTGTTCGAAATCGAAGTTATCGCCTACTCATATTCGAGGAATTGAGGTATCAAAGAAAATGCCAAAGTGAAGAAATACTTAAACAATTAAATATTATGAACAGCACACGGCAGGAGGCAAACGATGCAGATGGCTATTTTCAAGCGTGGCCTTGCGTTTAAATCGTGACGTTTAAAAGTGAGAAACAACTCCAGTTGGTGATCTCAGCGGCTTTAAACCAGACCGCTTTCAAAGTGTGTTTTTGCCTGCTAAGCGCCTTGTAGAAGGCGCTTCTGCGGAGGGGAATGTACACACTTTGATTCTGCGATTAATTTTTTTGGTTGGGGAAGACAGCATGGCCGAGCTGTAAGTGCGTTGGACTTATAATCTGGCGGTCCCGAGTTCAAGTCCCGCCCTGAGTGCTAACTTGATTTGCTCTGACTCGTTAGTCCCGTTTTCAAATCCAAGCCCTCCTTTGCAAGCGACCGCGACCACTTTTCGGAGCTTACGGTTTAATAATTTTCCTGATCTCTATAGTATGTTTGCTGTATGTACTATGCTAGTTACAAACTTAAGTAACAACATGGAACTGCGCATATCGTAACCTTAGAAAACTGCATGCAATAAATTACATCTTACATCGGACATCTTCTCGGAAGAGAACCCCTGTGGTCTTTTCTCGTTAGCGAGCACCTCTCGTAAGCGACCACTGAGTCTTCGCATTTTCGATGGTCGCTTACGGGAGGTTTGACTGTATCGCCCCTGTCTTTTTGCGGCTGCTCCGAGGTTCACTGTACCAAAACTCAAGCTTCAACAAAAGGTGATAGCCCTACCGGTTGGAAACTGGGCAAAACTTGACTGTTCCGCCTATGGATACCCTACCCAGGGTTGCATGGTACAAGAATGGAAAACCGTTAAATGAGAGAAGAGGTAGCTGTCTGTACTTGGATTGGAAGTATGTGTTGGCTTTGAGGGATGTGGTTCCGTCAGATACTGGTACATACAGCTGTAATGTCAGTAACCATCTGGGTTAGATTAACCATTCATACTACCTTGATGTGTACGGTAAGGTGTTGATATAAAACGCCTGAATAAATTTAGTCTACTTCGCACACGTAAGGTAACCTCAGCGAAGCAGCGCCGATATTCTTGTTCTGAGCCCTCAACGAACTCAACGAATTAAAGGAAATGCGTTTCGAATTCCCTTTCAACCTGGAAATCGACATTGCATCTTTATCAGGCCAATTGTGGAGCGTATTCAATTGGGGCCCAGAACAAAGATTTCGCCGCTGTATCGCAGACGGACTTAACCAGAAGCTTAGTTCCGTTTGTGTCGTGGGCTACGAGAATGATAAAAGAGACGGTTGATAAGGAGTTATTAATCTTTCTATTCCAGTCAGCTTAGTTCTCCTTGGAATCGGAATTGGCGTGAGAAATTTTTAAATTTTTAGGACGCTTGTTGGGTTTCAAGGTGGTGAAAAGTTATCAAATCGGTGTCCTGGAGACTAGAAATAAAGTTATCTCCACGAGTCCATCACATCTCTGAATAACCTGACAAATCTGGGCAGTCGTTTCGAAGAGAAAAGCTTTGTTGCCTAAACAGAGACTTCTCTTGTTTCTTAGCCCTTTCTGTGTAAGTCATCTTAGTAGTGAGAGATATTTCAAATTGTGAGGTTCATGGAGGCGGAGAACGAATTTATCCCTGAGTGACGTCACAAAACTTTGACAATCCTTTCCGTTACCTACATAAAGATGATCCCTGTTTTCTAGTAACAAAGGTAATAGGACTGGTTGGTTGCGCGCTGACGCTAAAGTAATATACGCGTAATTAGACTTAAGAAAAGAGTAACCTGTCATTTTAAATGAAAAATTACGTTATTGAAAGTTTTTGACATTTTGTGTGTGGAAAAATTTTAAATCATCCGTCTGCTTTACACACTTTGCAGTAACGCTGTAGTAGTTCTCGGTTCCTCAATGTTTTTTTTTTAGTCAGGTGTAAATTGCTTAAAGCCGTTTGTTTCAGAATCGCGAGTGATTGAGGGATTGAGGGTGTAATGAGATACCATCTAAAATCTTTCGTGTTTCTCTTGCCTTTAATTTTTTGCCGTGACCTTAAACCATGGCGATTTTCGATAATAAAGGGCTTGTTTTAAAAACCAGTGAAAGGTTTGAACCCAGTAGTCATTTCATAAGTAGGTAAAGCATGATCGTCCTGGTGAGCGTAGTCCTGACGTTTCGCCAACCTGTGCGGTAGTCATCTTCAGAGTCAAAGTGAGTTGTGCTTAGCAAACCTCCCAAGTGCATCCATGACTCGATGGTTGCACAGCTGCAACGTTTACCATTTCGCCTATAACATAATCAAAAGAGAAAACATTTCCATTTGCCTTCGGTTGAGTCATCGGTACTGTAGACAAGTTGATATGTTTGCTGTCATCTTCCCGTGCATAAACAAACATGCCTTTCAAAAACTTGCCTTTGATTTTTTTTCGCTGAATCAACCGTTCTCCGTCTTAGGGTAAATTGCAAAACGTTTTTTGCTGTTATTCTAAATGGCATCTGTCTACTTGCTCTTAATGTTAGGGTAAATAATTAATATATTTTTTAGATAGTCTAATAATTCCTAACTTCAACTGCTTGTAACAAAAGAACCAACGCACTTGACAAAAATCTGAGACACGGTTTTTTGGTCAAACGTGTTAAGAAGCGAATGCGATCTTAATTGGCTTCTTCCGTTTATTTTTGGCTGGCCTGGACTTAAATTTACAGTGACACTCACTTTCACAAAAAGCTTCTCATTTCTAAATCGCGTTAATATTTTGATTTTTTGAAAGGAATAAGCAATAATCTGGAACTATTAAGCTTTCAGAAAATGTATGGTTTATGGGGCTATTTATTAAAAGCAAAAGCGTTAGCGCCGATCAACGCGAAGAGGGTGCTTGAGGGTGGATGATACCTTAATTGTGTGACAATTTTTGCAATAAACGCTGACGTAGAAATGAGAAAAATTGACTGTATTTCCTTTAGAACAAGAGATAACACTAAATTTAAAGCGAAATTAACTATCTTTGTATTGTAATTTGTCCGGGAAAATCAAGCTGAAAGTCAAAATAGCAAGAATTCGCCGACACAGCCGACGCTGAAGCGATGCGTGAGCAAAAAGGCCTGGTTCAGACGCCGAACTTTCGTGAGCAGAACCTAATTCGAATTAAGGCCGACCCAAATTATTTAGACCGGTTTAATTGATTCAGACGCCGATCTTAATTCCAGCCGAACTAAATTCAGAAGGTGAAAAATGTTCATTTCGGTCAAACTGCTTACAAAATACGTCATAAGAGTTTATACATTAAAATCGGTACATGAAAAATTCTGCGTCTAAATCAAAGGCGTTCCAAAGTCGCTCCAAAGGCGAAATTCCCGGCCGGGCTAGGCGAAAAGAATGGCTGAGACGTTCCAAATTGAAACAGGCGTTCCTAATTGATTCAGACGCCGAACTTTTCATATACTTAATTCAATGTTTTAGATTCGGCTCATGAAAAGTACGGCTTCTGAACCAGGCCTAGATGTTGTTTTTTTACGACCTTTCTTTGAACTACAGTTATGTATGAACCTAAACAAAACAAGAAACAAACAAGTCATTTTTTGAAAAATTTATTTGAAAAACCAAATGTTTCTGTACTCAAATGAAATTCGCATTACAATTCCAGCGTAATGTGTCCGCAACTTAACTATAATTTTTAATTGATGAGATGAAAGCTACACAACAAAGCTGTCTCGAATCTGAGCGCGTTTCCTAAAAAATTGCTTGAATTTAACATCAACTCGACTTACATTGTAAATTTCAATAAGACAATGCTGACTGATAAATTTCCATTTGAAAACAGACTTTCTCTTTTATACAAACACACGAAATGTACTTTAAAGTCTCGGGCTTAAATCCTCAAAAAACTGCGCCCATTCGGTTTTTCTTCTGAGCACCTAGCCGCGACGAAAACAGTGGTAAATTTCTCCAGGGCAAATTTTGTCGCATAACCTTTTGAATTTTCTTTAAAACGACAACTGAATGTTTTTCTTTAACTTCCACTTTTCATTTGTACATTTTATCGGTGCATTTTAGAGTGACAGGGGAGGAGATTTGCTGAATTTGCCACAATTTTACCGCGCTAAATCAGTTCCTTGGCGTGCACCAACGGGCAAATGGTAGACGGCTAACTGACCAATCAGAGAGCGCCCTTTACTTTTATTGTCCCCGCGGGGATTTCGCCCAGAAAGCGAAATCCCGAGGAGGCACTCTAGTAACTCGCGCGTATATTAAGGAAAGTACTTACAGTTGAAGTATACAGTCAGTACGCCAGAAAAAAAGTCTCGATTAGTTTGAACAGGGGCCGCGAGGAATCGGTAGGTAATGATGACGTTTCTATTGTTTACGCCCGCAAGTACGAAATGGTTAGGATGAAGTAAAGACAGAAAATCCCGAAGGGACCGCTTAGGTAGATTTTGTGACATTTATTGTGCAGTCATACTTCCATACTCTTTACTGCGTTACGTGTTATCAGTGACATTCTGTGGAGCAGTTGTTTTGAAAGTTATGGACCAAAAGACACCCGTTAAGCGCAGAAGGTGCGTATAACTGTGTATATAATATATAGATTTAGCCAGGGCTAAAAGCGAAACTCCTATTAATTCGAATTTATAATTTAAATCAAACAATAAACTTGTATTCCACAAATCAGTTAACTTTAGAGCACATTCATGTTACTTTCGAGAGAAAGGCTAAGTGATTTTAGAGAAAAATGATTTGGAAACAGTCCAAGCTAAGAGTGAACTTAATCTCACATCGAGTTGATAGCCTTATATGTACACCCCAAAATAGCATAGCCATAATGGCTCTTGATTACAGTAGATTAGGCCTGGAAAACAAAGCAGGCCGAATTTTTTGCGTTCGACAAGTTTACTTTACAAAATGAACAAGTCTGGGGACGTGTAAACCAACCTTTTATACTTTTTATACATCACATCTGAGGTGAAACAGTACCATGAGGCACTGTTTTTATCATACAGACCTCGGACAGAATGCGGTATTTCACAATTTTCCAATACAAATTGCACTCATTCAGTATTCAGGACGATCGAAGCACTCGTGGGCTTTTAGCGAAACCGTTAAAAAAATTTCCAAAATTACCTATACGGCAAGCTGGTTATCACTTTTGCAAAGCGCCAAAGTCGACTGTTTAAATTAAGATTAATGGAGTTATAGCGGGGCGCGTGGGACAGAGCCCCATACTCATGGAATATGGTCAACCTCTTTTCGTTTGGTTGTCACGTGATTGACCGAGCGTACGTACGTACGCGTCTACAGATTGTACGGGTGGGGTAGGGGAGACTATCGAAAGGAAGGGAGGGGTGTCTCAGGCGTGTCTTGGCAAGTCAACATCTTTAATATAGGTTTTTAGGACATTCACAATATGGTCAATTGACAGCTGTCAAAACAGGATAGCCACTGACCAGCATCCCATGACCATATCGCGGGCTCATGTGGCAACTCATCGAGGTGACGTGATTTATTTGGAAGCTGTCCGCTGACCAGTTAATTGTTTTACTAGATCGCGAACAATGTTCAATCTGCCGTTCAATCTCATACTTTTACTAGTTAAACTGATAATGCACACATATTGGACATCAATTTGATCAATTGACAGCTGTCAAAACAGGGTACCCGCTGACCAGTATCACTTGACCGTATCGCGGGCTCAGGTGTCGACCCAACAAGGTCAAGTATTTTTTGAAGTTATCCGCTGACAAGTTACTAGTTTTCAAGTGATCGCAGGCTCAAGTTCAAGTTTTTTCTAAATTCATATGAAATATGTTGTGTTTATGTGCTACACAATTAAAATTTTGATTGCAAACTGACCTCGGACGCGAAAATTCAGCCAGCTGTTACAGGCAGGGAAGACAGTTGCTTTTGACTTTTCTCACCATGGTCACGCGTTGGTCACGCTCTACGTCCAATTTTTATTCTCTGATTGGTCAAAATTTGACAGGTGAGTTCATGCGGAAAATTTATGCAGCATCTTGAATCTTATTTACTTTGACAGCTGAAGCTGACAGAGTTGGTGTCAACTTGTGATGTTTTAAACTGTCTTTTTCCACTGGATGTGCAAAATGAAATTCAGCTGCTATGTTCATGTTTATGTTTATTCATGGCTAGTTTGTTTATTGGGTTTTTGGTTGAGGAATACGTCGCTTGTCAAAGTCGGAAATCCGATTTCGGATGGCATCGTTTTCCGTTTTCACCTTGCTTGATGCGTAAGAGGATTGCAAAGTCTGAAGCGATACTGGCTTTTCTTGATACCTTTCAGGAGCTGCATCTCGAATGGTAAGCCAGAGAAATTATTGTATTTGATGTTTGTTTTTTTGGATCTAATTTAATGAAGTCGAGCGGAGTTTATACGGTCATTTAGTTTATGCACCTTTTTAAGATTTGAGACAATGATCTGACTGAGTATCAGGTTTGATATAAGCTTACAGAACGTTAAAAAGCCTTTAGACAGTTTCTCACCGCAAATAGAAAGAAAACGTTCCAAAGAATATTTAGTTATAATTCTGCCCGGAAAAGAAAGCTTTGAGCGATTTTCTTGCCTCGAGTTCGTCTTTGAAAATAGCAAACACCGGGAAGCCGGCTTAAAACATAAACTTAAGCTTGAAGCTTGAAGCTTGAAGACTCAGGATTTTTAGGGATACTTTAGTACTTGTCTTCCTGAGTGAAAATTGTTGTTTCTGTATATGTTTCACCGAATTATATTTCTTTTATTGATTGTTAGTAGTCTCTCTTGTAATTTTAATCGCTGTGCCGATTGTTTTCAGTCGTTCAGTGAACATCGCTTGCAGGAGTACTCAAAATGCCGCGCGTTAATAAACCATTAAGTAAAAAATAAACAGAATAAATTCTTTATAATGTTGGAGCGTAACTCTGTTAATTTTCATTCAAACACTCGCCATAGCTCGCACTACAAAAGTGAGAACCGGATGGCCGTATAGGTGATTTTGGAAATTTTTTTAACAGTTTATGAATATTGAATGAGTGCAATTTGTATTGTGAAATACTGCTTTCTGCCCGAGGTCTGCCGGTATGATAAAAACAGTGCCTCATACTACTGTTTCACCTCAGATGTGATGTATAAATGGTATAAAAGGTTGGTTTACACGCACCCAGATTTGTTGACAAGATTTTGCAAAGTAAACTTGTCGAACGCAAAAAATTTGCCCTGATTTTTTTTCCCGCTAATTATTAAATCTACAGTGATCAAGAGCCATTATGGCTCTTAAATGTGATAGAAGATGATTACCAGTTTTTGGGTGTACATATGAGGCTATCAACTCGATGTAAGATTTGGTTCACTCTTGGGCTGTTTGCAAATTATTTTTCTCTAAAATCAGGTAGCCTTTCCCTCAAAAGTCACATAATTGTGCTCTAAAGTTAACTGAATTGTGGAATTCGAATACAAGTTTATTGTTTAATTTAAATTATAAATTTATTAATGACAGCTTCGCTTTTAGCCCTGGCTAAATCTACATATTACGCTTCAACATAATAAAGAATTTATTAATATGTTTATTTTTTATCTTATGGTTTTATAACGATGTGTAATCTTCAAAAGCGTTTGATACGCGCGGCATTTTGACTACTCCTGCAAGCGATGTTCACGAGCGACTGAAAACAAACGGCACAGCGATTAAAATTGCAAAGAGACTACTAACAATTAATAATAAAAGGAAAATAATTCGGTGAAACACATACAGAGACAACAATTTTCATTCACGAAGACAAGTATTAAAGTGTCTCTGAAAATCCTTGTTTATGTTTTAAGTCGGCTTCCCGGTGTTTGCTTTTTTCAAAGATGAACTCGAGGCAAGAAAATCGTTCAAAGCTATCTTTTACAGCCAGAATTATAACTAAATATTCTTTGGAACGATTTCTGTCCATTTTCAGTGAGAAAATGCCAGAAGGCTTTTAATCAAACCTGATAAACGTGCATAAACTAAATAGCCCCATAAACTACGCTGGACTTCATTAAATTAGATATAAAAAAACAAACATCAAATAAAATAATTACTCAGGCTTACTATTCGGGATGCACTGAGAACTATCAAGTAAGGCCAGAATCGCTTCAGACTTTTCAACCCTCTTACGCATCAAGCAAGGTGAAAAAAGAAAACGATGCCATCCAAAACCGGATTTCCGACTTTGACAAGCGACGTATTTCTCAACTAAGAATCCAATAAACAAACTAACAGAAGACTCTTGATAGCAGCTGAATTTCATTTTGTACATTCAGAGGAAAAAGACAGTTAAAAACATCACAAGTAGACACAAAACTCTGTCAGCTTCAGCTGTCAAAGTAAACAAGTTTCAAGATGCTGCATAAATTTCACGCATGAACTCAACTGTTCAGTTTTGACCAATCACAGCATAAAAATTGGACGTAGAGTGTGACCAACGCGTGACCTTGGTGAGAAAAGTCAAAAGCAACTGGCATGTCTTCCCTGTCTGTGAAAACTGGCTGAATTTTAGCTTCCGAGGTCAGTTCGGAAACAAAATTTTAATTGTGCGGCACATATAAAACACAACATATTTCCTATGAATTAAAAAAAAAATTGAGCCTGCAATCATTTGAAAACTGGTGACTTGTCAGCGGATAACTTCGAAAAGATACTCGACCTCAATGGGTCGATACCTGAACCCGCGATACGGTCAGGTGATACTGTTCAGCCCTGTTTTGAGAGCTGTCAATTGTTCACAACATTGATGTGTAATATGTGTGCAATATCAGTCTTGCTGTGCTCCCAAACTAGCTAGAAAGTGTAATATTGAACATTGGTTGCCCTGTGGTGCGGACAGACGGGAGGGCGGTGTACGGTCACGTGATTACCAACTTTTCTGGGATTGGTAGATTTACTTACCAATTGTGCTCCGCGGGCGCGCTTCGCGCGCCAGAGCTCCGCTATAATCGTTTGGAGAGTTTGCCAGACACGAGTTTACAAATCTTTGATGAGAAACCTTGCCAGACACTCTTTCTCTCTCTTTGACCGGAATAAGACTCAGCCCCAAACAAGCAAGACGAGTGAACAACGGCTAGCTTATCACTAGGAGAACGATGGATGGATTCGCCTGAGGTGAATAATTGTTCTAGTATATGTACACGAAGTGATCTCGGCCGAATCAGAAAGGTAACCATTAAAAAACGATTAGTTTGATTGACGGGTAAATTCATGCGAGAACATGTAGCCGTAAACAGAAGCTGCGCGAAAGTAGGCTCTTTCAGCTAACAGTATCTTCAAACATGGCAAGTCATAGTTTCTAAAGTAATCTTTTTGTAAGCTTTAGCATCAATGGTTTGAAGGAAAACGTCGAAAATTTAAATCATTACCCCTTTTGAGAAGAAAGTAGAGCTTTATTTGTTTCTGTCAACTCGCCGTGAATGAGAACGTTTTTTTGTCGCTTCTTACAAACGCTGTCAACAGCGGCTAGGATCGGGGTGAGCGTTGTTTATCTACACTTTTCTTTGTCTTGTTAACTTGCTGGCACGTAGATTATACTTGTTTTTGAACTGTGACGATACCCCATCACTCCAGTAGTGAACTTTCGTAACTGTTGTCACTTTCTTCAAAAAATCGATGATAGCACTGTCAAATGTATAAATGGTGCTCTTGTCGTGGGACATCTCATCACTGATGACAGCAAAAGAGGTATGCTTGATAGCTCCCTCTTTTGTGTTTCTGAATTATTCAACAGCTGTAAAGATTGTGACACTTTCGTTCGACCAGTGTGCGGCCATGATTTCATTCTGATGTTTAAGCTTAAAATTCCGGGCAAAATCTTCATGAATAATAAACTCGCCAGCAGGAAGACAATCTTTCAGGTGTCTTAGCCCCTGAGACTGTCGGCGGACATTATAACATGCCTTCCAAATGAAGCAAGCTGCGCTTTTAGGTCTTCTTTTGTTCCTACCACATTGCTGACTACAGGTAGCTTCTTCACTCTGCCATCAGCTGGAGTGCGCCACTGGTAGTATGAGACAGGTAGCTCGTCATCTGTATTGAGATGCTCATTTACAACTCGGTCAACACCACAATTTGAGCACTCTCTGTCCATACACTTACTTTCCTCTTGGCTGCAAACTATAGCATTTAGTAGATCTTCTGCTGTTTTGTAGTGCGAAGATACCAGACTAGTGGTGGCAAGAGTATGGAGAAGGAGATCTATGTTTTCGTGATGTTTGCACATGCAAACTTCATGATCACGAAGGGTCATCGACAGCACTTGCGGAGACTTCAAAGACGCAAACTTGGAAAATCCAACCTTCAACTTCGAACCCTCCTTAAATCAAGCATGTGCCTCGCGCAGATTCACTAGTAGCGATCGCTTTTGTCTTGCTTCCTTGCCGCTCTCAACCTTCACAGACACTTTATCGTTTTTGCCAGAAAGAATTCTGCTTATGTCGTCTTTCAGATAGAACTCCTCAATTTGTCTTATTTCCTCCTCTGAAAGAGAATCTGATCTTTTAACTCGTTCTCCTTCGACCTTGCGCCGCTTTGCATTGGTGTCACAAGCTGAAATTACTGCCTTGCGCTTCTGAGGTGACAGTTGATATACCAGTTTCCCTACTGACAGTTCAGGAACTTTTTCGGGGTTTTTGGGAAGGCTCTTATGCACTTTTCTGACTGCCTTTGCTAGGTTTTGGGGTGTCAGGAGCTGACTTTTCACGGTGTCTGTGTCTTGTCCTTCTTCACTCATCTGCCCTTCTGCGCCTTCTCCGCCTTCTGCCTGGCCATGTTTGATATTTTCCAGTTCCTTTGCTTTGCTCTCTGCCTTTCCTTCTTTGCATCTGACAAACTCTCTTTCTGTCTCTTGTACTCTCTCGCTTTCCTCTTTCTATCTTTCTCTCTGTACTGTGCTAGCTTCTTCTCCTCGTTTTTCAACCTCTCCCGGTATTTCCTGCTCCTCTCGGTACTAGTCAACATGGCACCAAACAAAATCAAAACAGCTTTTCAAACAAAATAATCAGCTTTGCGAATAAGTCAAAAAACAAATGTCTTCTACTCAACGGCTTTTAGCAACACATGCAGAATAAATTACTATTTTTGAAAAAATATGACCTGGAAATTGTATGATAGTGCTTAAAGTGTTAACTTTAAACATTTCGGTTTTAGTTTCCAGTTAATTTTAGACAAATTTGATACTTTTTAAAAACCAATGTCTAGTTTCACATTACCGTGGAATGACCCAAGTATTTGTGAATTTTTTGTAATGTCACCAATCACTTGCATAATAAAATGGCTATCATAACCCATTAAATTATGGAAAATAACAGTTATCTTATCAATTACTGTTACGATCTTGGTGAACTGATCCTCTATATTTAGTTGTGATATAAGGTCATATAACAATGAAACAATAATCTCTGACATTAATATCTCTTTCAACATATTTTTGTATTTTTCATATTAACTTATAAACATCATTTTCTCCTTTATATATCTGAACTGGTTTACTGTATTCATCATCATTACATATTTTATCTTTTTGATATGATTCAGTATGTGATTCATCAGTGTTTGGTTGGCATCCTTGTATTTTTTTCTGTAATAGCTTCAAAATCTACATAGATTACAAATGGTACTGGTAACTGCTTCTGGACGTTATTGAATTTCAACATATTGTAACCTTTTTCAGGCATTTTTATGGCTTGCTCACCAGTTTTCTTGGTGATTCTTTAACATATTATCACAACTACAGAAGGATTGTAAACAATACATACAAAAGTGTTTTCTATGTTCATGTTTTGTTTGGTTGGTTGTACATAAACTTATAGAAGTCTTTTATGAGAACATAATGTTTGTTTTCACCTTCTGTTATCAATAATAGTTCCATGTAATCTCAAACCTATCGTTATAGAAATGCGTATTGGAAATAGTTGTTCATCTTCATAACCGAATACGTTTAAATTGATATTACATTGTTTCTCAATCTTGTTATACTGTCTAGTGGTTACAGTAAAACTAATACTTGAGTAATTAAATTGGCTAATTTGTGGTTTCTATATTTGAATGTTCCAATTATGTTAATATTCAAACTGTTGAAAAAATTTGAAAACCATATATATTATTTTTTATTTTGTTGTGATCTTCTTACCCATCTTTTTATATACCATACTATATGTTAGATAATGTTCTCTTAAAATATTTTCATGACTTCTTGAAATGGTCACAACATATATTGTCCATATTCATGGTTTTAGAAGTTCATTATTCAGAGGGATGATTTTATTTTTCCTTCCTGAACATGCAGATGCTTTAAAATTATCTCACGCTTCTCGATATCTTTTTGTATTTTTTATGAACTTTGTTCGGTCTCTTGTGGCATGTGATCTTTTTTCAATGATTTTAGTTTCTTTACATTGGTTGATGTTACCTCGAACAGATTATCCAACGCATTTTTATTATCTATCATTTCTCTCACTATTTTTTAAAGATTTTTGAAATTCTCCATTATGTATTATTTTGTTATAATTAGTATATATTTTATTTTTTAAAAGTTGTCTTTTTTTATTTGTGGTTTTCAAAACGTCATTTTCCCCTTTATATTTATTATTTTCTATATCTTGGCATCGCTCGTATGCGATGTCTTCATCTATCTCCTGTATTTTTTGGTAGATCAAGGGTTGCCTTGGATTCTTTGTTATAAGAAAGTTTTAGTTGTTTTAAAAAAACCACTAGATTTGGTTCCGATTTCCTCTTTCAGCAGATCCAGTTATGGTATTTGGCTCAGTAAGACAAGTGAAGTTACTTTGACGCTGACTTTTTGAAGAGTCAGGGCTAAGACCAAGTGCTATTGACACGTTTAGTTTACACTCAGAGCAGGCAAGAAATGCGTCGTGATATTAATGAACTCCAAATAGATGAGACCTTAAAGCAAAACCAGAAAAGACGCGCGAGCCCTTTTTTTCCATCTCCTCAGAAATCGCAATTAGAGATATATTCTAGTCCGATTTTCGTCAAAAAGTCATTAACGGCAATCCCTCTATGGAGAAATTTTAACTGGAACTCCATCACCCGGGTACTTTTGGTGTATTTGAAGGCTAGAGTGTATGCCTTAGACCATAGAGGTTGATCGCTCTTATTGTTGTATAGGTCCATAATCCATTTATGTTGACTGCGGGTAGGAGAAGTCCATTTTTGGGACAATAATGCTGAGTAAACAAGTCGACTTCCAAGAAGGGTTTTTTTGAATTTAGAAGAAACTTTCATAAACAGCATTTTTTGTAACACTGTTTCAACAAGTGTTCTTGGATGTCTATCATTTTAAGTCCCCCGTTTGAATAGTCATTGAAAATAGTATCAAGTTTGATTTTGTCACCCTTTTGATTCCAAATGAGAGAAAAGAAGGGACTGCTGAGTTCTTTAATGACTTTTTCATTGGTGCGTAAAGATGAAAACACATAGACTAGTTGGCAAGCCTCCAGGCTTTTTAAAACTTTTATTTTTCCGATGAGAGAAAGTCTGCGAAAGCTCCAAGAACTTAAGATATTTTGGACTTATAAAATTTTGTCTTGGTTGTTTAAAGTTAAAGTTTCTTTTGGGTGGAGGGAGAACCAAACACCTAGAGCTTTTACTTTAGACTTGGGCCATTTAGAATCTCTCCCAGTGAGACCAATTTCTTCTTTAAAACAGTTTTCACCAATCCAAAAAGCCTCCTTATTGAGTCTAAGACCTGAAACTTTATAAAAATCATTCAGCAGACTTAAAGGAGATAGCAGGAAGCTGTTAGATCCATCCAGAATAAGCGTCGTGTCATCTGCGTACTGACTTATCTTGATCTCTTTATCATTTACATTAATACCCCTTATATTCTCATTTTTGCTTCCAGCCTTTGCTAATGCCTCTGATGTAAGGATAAAGATATAGGGCTAGAGAGGGCAACCTTGTCTTACCACTCTTTGGATGCTAGAAAATCACTAGCCCATCCATTATTTGACACACAACGTTCCGGCCCACTATAAGAGAGGTTTACCCAACTTATGACACTAGCTCCGAAACCGAAAAAAGAGAGAGTATTTCGAATGAAATACCATTCTATCGTACCGAATGCTTTTTCAAAATCTAGAAAGAGAAGAAGACCTGGGATATTCTGCTCCTTAGCATAGCAAATTAAACTGTCAATAAGACGAATTTTTTCCCCAACGAATCTTCCTTTCAAAAAGCCTGTCTGGTCGTTGTTAATAAGAGCAGGTAGGACACGATTTATACGGTTTGAAATGGTGTTGTGGAGTATTTTGAAAGTTATTTTTAAGACGGATCTTTCTTAACTTTTAAGTTTAGTTTTTGTTTCATTAAGTCTTGTTTTTGTCCACGTAATGTTTTCCTGTTTTGATCTTTTGTTTTTACTTATTCTTGAAGTTATGCTTAGCTCGCGAATTTACTTATTGCCATATTAGGAATGTTATTCGCTTGGCATTGTCAAAAGTCAGTTTTCTTTACAGGTGGTCGTGTTTGTGGTGTTAGAGCTGACCTTCGTTGTTTGGTACTTATCAGTTGCGGCTGTGCGTAGGCTAATCTATTCCCTGACAATAGCAAACCTGTTGCAATGTTAGCGATAAGGCATACAATAGAAACTCTTCCGGTCAGCTAACCCAAACATGTCCAGCTTTGGGTATTAAAACCGCTACTATAGTTGAAGCAGAAGTAGAGAAGAAGTAGAGAAGTTGGTAGAACCGAGAAAGTGGCTGTGTAAGTAGAAGTTGTAAGAAGATTAAGAAGAATAAAAGCAAGATGTAAATCAGATTCCTGGTACCTCATCGTGTAGCGAGCGAGTTGCTCGAACACACCCCCACAATAGTCGTAACTGCTATTTTATAGTCGCAATTAAGCATGGTCAAAGGCCTCCAATTCTTGATTATAAAGTAAGGTTCTGCATCTTTTTGCGGATGAGCACAATGACACCTCTTCTCTGAGTTATTAAAAGTTGGCCTGCTTCATGCGCGAAGTTCAATGCATTAACAAGGATGGTCGAAATATCGAGCCAAAAGGTCTTGGTGTTTCGGCTTTGTCCCTATCTTCTTCTAGTATCGCAATCTCATGTTGAAGTTTTGATTGCATGTACATTTTTTGTTTATTTTTGATGGCAGCGTACCCAAGATTTCTCGCGGACTTTTAATTTTATCATTTACTAGTTGGAAAGCAGTGATAGGTTAACAGTTTCATCCTCACTGTATTCGTCTAACGTTTTTTTGATAGTCTTTTTTATTTGTTTTACGTTATCTGTTTTCGATAATATAGACGTGTTGAGCTTCCAAAACCCTGGACCTCGTGGATTTGAGTGCAAAAAAGAGAAAATGTCACCAAAGAGTGGTTATTTTTTTATCCTGCACTTATTTCTGCCACTTTTGTTTTGTTTGCTACGCTTTGATTTACTAAGAAAAAATCTAGTCAACATTGTACGTTTGGACGTCTCCGCCTCTATGTAAACCGGCCGCTCTAGGATGAAAAACCCTCCATAGGACTACTAAATTTAGATTCTCAGACGATTCCTCTAAACTTTTTACGCTATTTTGATAGTTTTGCTAAGGTCGCCTCTCTTGTCCTTCTCTAAATCGAGTACAAGATTAAAATCTCCCACTATAACAATATCATGACAGTTAGAGTCAGAAAGGTGATAAAAAAAAGATCTTCGAAAAAAGCTGGATTGTCTTTGTTTGTCGCGTATATATTAGCGAAGGTCATATTAACATCATCTGCTGTCAGGTCATAGATAATAAAACGTTGTAAGGTACATTATCCAAGGCTTTAACCATTTTCCTATCTGCTTTATTTTTACATTTTCTATCATCTTTGCTAACAGAATAATCTACATCATGTTGCATAGCTATTAGATCTGTTTCAGCTGTTGGTTGATCGTAGATTTCTAATATTTCTCCTGTTTTTAGATAATATTTCTGTTGGGAATTTAAGTCAATATATGGCCCAGTATAGTGATGCCCAGGTTATTTCCCAATCATTTTATGAATATCAATTCCAGCACCCATTGCTTTATAATATTGATCTTTGTATATATTGAAATAATTTTTTAGCATCTTTTACAGGCATTTCATTTACAGGTGCAAATATAGCAGGATCAGTTTATAATTTATAACCTTCTTTGTAATCAACTATCCAAGGCGAACCAAATATACCTTATTACAAAAATCCATCCATTATGCCTTTGCAATCGAAATCCTTTCTATCTGTTTTATATTTTTTGTTTAGTCTTATTTTTGTTGGTAATTGATCTAACGCTTGACTACCAATATTTTCAATCGTAGGGTTTAATTTATCAAGAGTATAATCAATTCCTTTTTTTCAAAATTTTTCATTTCTCATTAACTCACTTGCCTCCATAACGACAACTGCTTTTTTACCTATCCAAGCAACACCATGAGTAACAAACATCTCCAATGCACTAACTGCTATAGTATCTGCTACGCCCGCCCCCTAAGACGGGCTAACTAGTTTCGCCGGCTTTTTACGAATTTGGGTTTTGTAATACCACATGACGCACAAGTGCAGAAAAACATTAATGGACCATTTTTTGGCTTTTTTATAGCCACTTGGTTCGACACATTCAGTTTATTCTCTTTCTTTTACACAATATGATTTAACCATTGTATATGATTATATATTTTTGAAATACTTCTCTATGAATTTCTCATTTTTAATGCCATCATTTATATCAAATACTTTTAACAAATCATAATATGATGTCCTTTTTCCATTTCATTTAAAAAATACAAACAAAAATAACCAGAGTAGTGGTATTTAAATTTTGCATGTTCAAAATCTCTTGAAAAGGGGGCATAGCAAATAAATCAATTAAGACATTATATGAAGGCTCTAAATTGTCTATGATTAATGTTTGCTTATGATTATGTGGACTTTTTCATCTCTTGATAATACATGTTTTATTAGTATTCTTAAATATTTACACCAATTTATTAAATCATGATTGCTTCAAAGCTTGTTTTTATAAATATTTTGGTCTAACAGTGTTGCGCCTAGTAATGGGATTCCATTGAACGGGCTGCTTTTGCCTAATAGAAGCCCTTTTCCTTTTTTCTTCTGAGATTTTTTTTACTCCTATACCCACTGGATTTTTCTCCGTTCCAATAAAAGGTGGAGGAATATGAGGGGCAACCTCGTCCCCAGGGCGCTTTTTCCTGGCTTTGAGTGCGTATGGATTTACAATACCATCACCTTTTTTGCTAGTTGATGGTAATGACCTTCTTGTTCTTGAATGGTCAGTTAATCCTATTCTTGGAGCACCTTTCCCGCTATTTTTTTCTAATAGTCTCAATAGTAAGTGAAACACCAATACTAGCAAGTAATGCCCCCCAAAAGCCTGCTGACTGTGTTTTTCTTGGTTTTACAATTACTTTTCCACCCGATTGCAATGCTCTCAGCATTTCTTTTTGTTTTTGAGATAAATAAGTAAATAAATAAATAAATAAATAAATAAATAAATAAATAAAGGTGTTCATTGTTTTTTAAGCACAAATACATGCTAAAACCAAGAACACTTACATCAAAAATAGCAGAAAGAATTACAAGGCTTAAAAAATTCTACGTGAAAGCATTGAATTTAACATTCAAGATCCACATTACATTAAATAGCTACTCTATATTTGAAAAATAGCCTATTAAAAAAACTATTTTTAAAACGCTGGGTATTAACCCTAGGGAGTTGACTGCTAGGAACTCGGAGGCGCGCTGAATTTTCTTTCGGTTTAGGGACGGAAGGGTACAAATGTTTGTTATCTATCAATTGCTTTATTTTGTTATTTGAAATAAAAAAACCACCAATTTATCCACCAGAGATCTTTTTATCCAATTGACCGGCCCCTACATTAGTAAGACCTACCAAGGCTGACAATCCAAGTGTTTTGCCCAGTGTTGGTGCAAATGCACGACCTAATGATAAATTTGCAGTTAATAGACTACCTCCAACTTGTTTTCTAATATTGGTCTTAGCTAGTATTATATATACTTCCTTTTTTCAATTCACGGTTCTTTTCCAACCTTTTCACCACATTTGATGGAACATGCAACGTGTCATTTCCAGACAGAGAGTCCTTCGTGACTCTTAGAACAATTATCTCTCTCGTTTGATAAGCACTACTAGGATCCTTTTTTTGTTCTCTGATAGCTTGAGATTGATTTTATTAAGTTGAGTCATATATATTATATGTTATATAATTTTGAATTAACACAACAAAACAGTTTACATAACAAATTCTTCACATATGTTACATTATGAAGGTTATCAGTATCATAAATAATTTTACCTGCTGATTTAATCATCATATGCGTTATAGAGCTATGTGCACCCTTGATAACTGTTATTGTATCAGCAGCAGCATAGCCTGGTCCATCAGCTATTTTTTTGAAGTTGAAATTGATGTCGACCGGTCATTGATAGTGAATTTATAACCATTCTTTATTTGATGTTGATCATTACCTGGTAATCTAATTACATCATCTAATTACACAATGTGCACACTATGATTCTGTGATTGATTTTTTGCTTGGGAAAGGCAGCATGGCCGAGCTGTAAGTGCGCGCAGAAACTCATAAGGGGTTGAAACGTGTAACTTGCGTTCAATGCTCGTGAATATTCACTTTTACCATATTTGGAAACCTTAGTGGCAGATAGCCATTTTAAACAAATGGCCGCCACCAGTTTACCATGCAGATGTTTTAAGACAAGAGTTCTGCATTTCAAGGTTAAAAATACACCGTTAAAAGACAAAAAATGGAAAGAGAAAGTTCAAAAGAATGCTCAGCTTTCTTTTTGTGGAGGAAGGGAAGCTTTTCATCAAGAAATCGTCCTTCGAGGAATTCAACCTTGTTTTCTTCACGACGGAGCGCGTGGTCTGTTTTGAAATGCAACCAAGGCAGTGAAGTTTTTGCTGAATTTTCAGGTACATTTTGCACTCTATGGCCAAGACAATTACGTTTTTGAAAGGGAATTCATGTATTTTTAAATGTTTCATAGACGTTTTATAAATTTTTCTCTTCGGCGCTAAAGAAAATTACAAAATGTGCCCCTATTTGAGATGGATTTTGCGTTGAATTTTGCCATGTGCCCAGCCGATTTCACTTGCGTGAACGGATCCACGATCCAGATAGTGTTTTCCGAATTGCTTTAAAGGATCAACTTTTTGGATTTGCAATAAAAATTTTCAAGAAACGGCTTCTCTGTCTATTTTTTTGACTTGGTTCATTCATAAAACGATCGTGACTACAACATCCAAGCTGAATTTAAGCTTAAATGCTTCTCACATTCATTACACGCATCACTTTTTGCGAAGATGTCAGGTTCAGGTTTTGGACACTTTTCGATACGTAGCTAATGAATTTTATTCGAAAATATTTTTACTGTTTATTGTAGACTTTTAATATAAGAATTTTCAAAGCCTATATGCACTATAAGTTTACTGTACATGTGCAGAGGGTCAACGAGGCATCGTTGTTTGAAGTGACAACTTGAAGAAGTTGCGACGACAACAATGGGTTTCATAATGTTATGTTTGGCCCGGGTAGTGAGGCAATAATATCCTGCTCAGTGTTTCGGTAAGATTCCTGGTTTCAACCTTTGAAAGCTATCTCTGCTTTCGTGAGTTTTTCCCCCGTTTGTCGGCCATTTGTTTCAAGCGGGCGCGGGAAGCTGAAGTAAAATTACGTTACGTTGTTTACAAAGTTTGATTGGTCAGTTGTCTCTTCTTCTCCTTCCAAATATGGTACTTTCGAAAATGAGTAATCACGAGCATCGGACAAAGTAAACATGTGAGAGTTACCCGTTTCAACCCCTTATGAGTTTCTGGTGCGCGGGACTTATAATCCGGAGGTTCAAGTCCCGCCCTGAGTGCTAGCTTGATTTGTTCTCGTTAGTCCCGTTTTCAAATCCAAGGCCACCTTTGTAAAGTAACTAACTGCCGTTCGCCCTCTACCCAACTGGGATTCTTAACTTTGTTTTGTATCTGTTTCATTATTGCTGGAAAACTCCACAAAGGTAGAGGATAATCGATTATTTAAATTGAATTTAAATTTTGACGTGCTGTAGCCATGTTCTCTGCTGATAAGCATGTATTTGATTTCAGAAACAACTGCGTCACCACCTGAAACAAATGCGACCTTTTGGCAAAATACAAATGGAAATCTTCGCCCATCTGCCGAATCAGTAAGACCTTTATTATCATCATCGTCATCGAAGCGAAAAATTCTTATTGCAATGTTGGTTTCTGCTAGCGTCCTTTTTATAGTGCTTTTTGGAATTGGCTTTTATCTTTACCAGCGGAAGATGGAATTGGCAAAAGAAGGTAAATACGGTCTTGCTAACAGTCCCAAGCCAAATGAAATCGCTGTGGAATACAGGGCTCATGACCCGTCCGTTGGTGGCTCCCTATCGTCTTGCGAATCAACTGCTCCTCTGATGCGGCAGCCAAGTCTACGCTCTAGACTTGCTTCTAACCTCACTCAGGTGTCCGAAGAGGACATGCCACTGGACGAAAAATGGGAGATCGACAGAGAGCTTATCAGCCTGCAGGAAGTTCTTGGAGAGGGCGCTTTTGGCAGAGTTATGAAGGCAGAGGTGTTCGGAATGCCCAATATGCCCTTCAGATTAAATGTAGCGGTGAAAATGCTTAAAGGTAAGTTTTGTATTCTAGCAATCACTGGAAAAGACACTTACGCTTTCATTGCGAACTTTCTTACGATTATTGTGTTAAAGTGTAGCATGCGGTTTCTTTAATTCTGTTCAATACAACGAACGTGCGATTCCGACAGAGTATTCCTTTCCCGGCCGCGCGAGCGTTGTTTCGTGCTGTTGAGTCTTTCGTTCCTTTTCCTTGGAAGCAATGCTTTCTCCCAGCTTATCGACTTCTTTTTGTGATTTCCCTTTCTGTTGTTGTTGCTTTTGTATTTCATAAAGCTCTTTTTTAACCCATTCAAAATAGTATTGAAGATTTTTTCAAAAGTTTCAGTCTTTGCAGTTCACTTTCACTTTCATGTTTTTCATCAAAAACATCAATCTTGGCTGGGATTTGTTCGATTTTGTTTCTCAGCTTTTGCACCTCATCATTGGCTCGTTGGCGATCGGCGGAAATTCTTCCCCTCTCTCGTAATTGTCTTTCCGCCTCTCGTAAGCGTTGTCTTTCTTCTCTCGTCGATTTATTGTCCTCTGCAATGATATTTTCGGCTTTGGGCCAAGAACATTTTTGAATGTTTCTGTGAAGGATTTGAGCAGGTCCGAATTGTCTTTCTTGAAAATGTTGGACTCACCGCGCTTCCCCCAAACGAAACTATTTTAGCTTCATCTCCTGTTTTGCAAAACCCGATTGGGCCAAGTTTGGCGATATTGACTTCTTCCTTTGAAAAAAATATCTCCCCGCTCCAAAACACATTCCTCGCCTCAAATTCGATGAGTCCACGTCAAAAGCACTTTACCATAGTTTAGAAGGTTGTTTTAACTGATCTCTCGCAAACTGGGTTAAAGGCTACAACCACGCTGCGCAGGTCGTCCAATAACCCAAATAAATATCGAAGATGGCAGCATCTCTACTGACAATGAGCCTTGTGCCTAAAAACGGATCAATAACCAACCTAGTTTTCGTATCCCAAATACCAGGAGATTTAAGACAGCTGCCCTCAACATAGCTAATCTATAGAAACATATCGACCAACTTAGAACCTGTATGTCTAGCTACTAAGTTTGTTCCAATGGTAAAATCAACATACCAGGATATTTTATTGAGAGGAAGGATAAAAACAGAGCAAGTGGAGGTGTTGCTCTTCATTTCAGAAACACAATTAATTACAAACGTCTCCCACATCAAGAGGATGATCTTGAATTTCTCTTTATTCAAGTATCTAAATCTAAATTGTAGGAACGTGGAATAGGCTCCCCTGGGTCTGCAATAGAATCTATGACAAAATTCGAATCCACTTTGAAAGAATTGGAGGGCTATGGGCTGGAGGTTAGTATCATTGGACACGTAAACTATGATGTAGGTGCCTCTCCACTTGACCACAAAACCCAGAAGCTCCTGGATATATGCAATATTTATCAATGTAGTCAACTGATAAGACAGCCTTCACTCATAACTTAAGACACGCGTAGCGCAATTGACTTGTTTCTAACAAATGATCCTCAAAGATTTTCCCATAGTGGGGTATCTGACCTTTGGATAAGTGATCATTGTCTCGTGTATGCAATTACGAAAATCAGCCTATCTGAATCTACTACAAAGATTAAAACAAGTGGATGTTTCGATATATTCGAACCAGTAAACTTTAGAAATGACCTTGCAATGGCACCATGGTACCTTGTTGCAGCTGAAAGTGACCCAAACAAGGCATGAGGTACCTGTATATGGAAACAAATTTTTGAATACATTGCTGACAGTCATGCTCCTCTAAAGAAAAAGAGAGTAAGGGGAAGGTCTGTCCCGTGGATTACACCCGAACTGAGACACGATAATAATGTTTGAGCGCGAGAGGCATCAAAAAGTGGCTTCAAGATCTCAAAGTGATACTGACTGGACTAGTTACAAACAGCGAAAAAAGAAAGTTAATCATACTATCAAGGAAGCAAAAACAGCGTTACGAAAGTAATTATTTTAGGGATAACTCTGGAAATATCAAAAACATCTAAACGCTATGCTTGGGAATCAATCTAAAACCACCGCAATAAACGAAATTAAAAATCAGAGTTAAATAGTCATACCTATAAATCTCCTAGGGATATCAGTAGGATTTTAAACAAAAATTTCTCTGAAATTGGACCAACTTTGGCCGCTGAGATTCCAGACACACCTATAAGGTGCACGGATTATGTTAAACCCACTTAATCTACCTTTTTTCTCAAACCAGCTACTTGTGCTGAAATTTTTAAATTTATCAACAGTCTCCATTTAAACAAAGCTAGTGGGCTTGACAACATATCTGTAGGCCTCTTAAAAGAGGCAGCACCAATAGTTACCTCTTCTCTGACTTTCATAATCAGTCTTTCGATTTTTTCTGAAACTGTTCCAGACGAATGGAAGCATACTAGCTTTTCCCCAGTTTTCAAAGAGGGTGCCAAAGTTGACCCTAGTAATTACCGACCAATCTCAGTTTTACCTGTTGTCAGTAAACTGGTTAGGGAGTTGTATTCAAACAATTGTAGGGGTACCTAAACTATAATAACCTTCTGACAGAATCACAATCAGGTTTCAGGCCAATGTTTTCCACAGAAACTTTCGTATTAGAGGAGACAAATGAGCGGATTAAGAATATAGATAAATCTCTCCTAAATGGTGTAATATTTTTGGATCTAAAGAAAGCCTTTGACACCATGGACCATGCTATTCTCCTACGGACAGAAACTCGAGTTTTATGGAGTTAGGTCCTAAACACTTGCATGGTTTAAATCATGTTACTGGGTGGAAAAAGAAAAGTTAACGATGAACTTTCTGATTTCTGTATGTTAACAAGTGGAATTCCTCAAGGATCAATTCTTGGCCCCTCTTGTTTGTTTTATATATATATGACCTTCCCTTATGCCAACTGTACTCAAGGCCCACAATGTATGCGGATGACACCACTTTAACGTGCTCAGCGGAAAGTGCTGATACTTTACAAGTTCAAAGGAATTCCGATCTAAGCAAAATTCCGACATGGCTTAAGGTGAATAAGCTTACTCTAAACGTCAAAAAGACCAAATACATGTTGAGTAGGAGTCGTCCTAAACTTGAACTACTGTCAGACAATTTCACAGTTGAGGTTAATAACATACACATAGAAAGGGTGACTGTTTATAATTCTCTTGGAGTCTCAATTGATGGAAACTTGTGGAAAACACACATTAATGAGATTTCAAATAGGATATCAGCAGGCCTATCGATAGTTCTCAAGCGGAAGTCGAACCATACCGTTCAAAACTAGAGAAACCATGTACAAAGCTCTCATCGTGCCCTGTTTGATTGCTTTAGCTGTGTATGGGGATATATAGGGAAAGGATTATCAAAAAAACTTCAGAAACTCCAAAACAGAGCTGCTAGAATAGTGACTTCATCAAATAATGAAACACGATTTAAAGATTTATTGCATAAACTGGGTTTTGGGTTTGGAAGTACTAGAAGATAGAAGAATAAGACAATTCGTTATTCTAATGTACAAGATAACTCATAATATTTCCCCGCCGTATGATGAATGTCTCTGATGTATTCACTCTTATAATCTAAGAAATTCATCAGTAGACTTGTATGTCCCTAAACCTTAGACAGAGATAGGAAAACATAGCCTTCACTACAGAGGATAAATCCTCTGGAATAAACTTCCAATAGAAGCAAGAGAACAGGAAAGCTTAGACCTTTTCAATAATTTTATAGAGATAATACTTTTTGCGAAGTCAGATAATAATTGTGTCTTCGCAGAGAGCATAATTTAAATTATTTTTAGTGCGTATACACAGCTGTCATTTTAGTGTTTGTAATTAGAAATTAATTACAAACGCAGGACTTAATTTGAAATGGTCACAGCTGCGTCAGGTCGACCTTGGCGTAGAATTCACGGGCTCCGTCACGTAAGAAATGGAAAAACACAAAACAAACATTCGCCGTGGGCGCATGGAGATTCACCGGGACTAAGCGATCGTGAAAAGATATAACCGCATCCTTGCTAAGCGCCTGTTCGGGCACCAGTATGCTGTTGAAATGCGACTTCCTCAGAGCCATAGATATTCCAAATGGGTCGTTTGGCTTCCTGCATCGGTCTCGGCTCTGAGCGGAGAAGTCACTCGCCTCACAGGCAAAAAACCCGTTGCGGCCATCAAAGAAAAAGCCGTTTATTCCAAACCCTCTACTCCTCATCACAGCCCTGTTAGCGTGTGCAAAAAGATGGCTCCCCTCCTATACAGCTGTGCGCTATCTCTACCAATCCGGAGAGCTTGAAGGCGGGGGGAAAAGAGCCACAGATCCGATCAGGTCTTTGAAAGCCTAACACATCGAAAAACCGTCACCAAACCCAATGAACCGATTTTGTGTTATTTGCATGATGGGCTCAAACGTGGCTTCGTTCGCGAAGAGCTGGTTATCGTGCTTGCCAACACCGAGCTTCCGCCGCTTGAGAGATGATATTCGATCGACTCGCCAATCTCTTCCAAATCTTGAAACCACACCCAGCGCAGATCTTTCCTCAAGGCGCCTTCACTCGTTGTGTACTTCACGGTCGTGTGCCTTTCCAAAGCGTCGATCACCTTACCATACGAGCTGTTCCGCAAAAGCTTGAATACCTCGGCAAGCAATGCCTGCTCTGAATTTTGATCGCCCTTACCCCTGTTCTCCGTGACTTTGTTCACGAAGAACGTGAAGATTTTTTGCGGAACATTGTCAGTGGTTCGGTGAACAGTTGTAGTGTTCAAACCATGGTAGAGATACCATTTCAGCAGTGGCACGTCCAGCAGGATCTTTTGAGTTAGAAGGGCGCCAACCAGTTTTCGTTGGTCGTGCATAGGTTTGCGTTTGCTATACGCCAAGTGGTCTTTTATGTGCTGCGGTATAGTCTCGCTTGGAAGGGGTTTGTTTTAAAACAACGGCAGCATTTGTTCGAACTTCGTCCATAACTCTCTTGGTACCTCGATGTCCACTAAGGCGAATTCAAACCATCTGTCTCTCTGCAGAACTTCAATAAACTTTTCGACGTTCCTTGCCGTTTGCGCCTATTGCGCAACGACCTCCATTGTGTCTGGATACAGCGCGTTGGCGTCGTAGGCCAGAACTCTTGGACACATCTTCGCGTCTTGGAACTTGTGCGTACGGATTCTCGTTTTCGACATAACACAAGGCTCGGCCCCTTGACAACCGCGCCTTTGAGAATTTCGTAGCCCTTCTCCCCTGGGGTGTACAACTCCAGAGAGTCTCTTTGGTTAAGTGTGAATCTCCCAGTTAGTATTCCTCTAAGCGTACCACGAAGGAGATATTTCATTGAGACTCTTGGCAGAGGTACCGCATCTTTCAAAATATCTATTCTCAGCCCCGTGTAGGAATGTCAAATTGACTCCAAGGCTTCAAGAAAAGGCTCGAAATCCAGATTATTGTAAAAGCGCAACAAGTCCTTAAAAGTTCGCATCCCTTTTTCCTGCCAGATTCGCTGACTAGCCCTGTACGCTTCTTCGGAGAGAGTCATCTCATTTTTCAGCTCGGAAAACCACTCTTCGTGCGGCGGCAGTCCCGGGAAGTCCAACTTTTCGGCTGTTTCAAACCACTCGTCGGGAAACCACAATTTGGAGAGCTTGGCACCGTACGCTTTCATCCATTTTTCCTGACCGGTGCCGGGGCTGATGTAGCTACAGATTTCCAGAAACGTCGCCACTGACATGTACATGACCCTGTTTTGTTTTTTGGCCAGTTTGACATCACTGTTTTGGGCGATTTGGGTCACAAAATGCTCTTTTTATCAGAATCAAATCATAACGCCCGGAGTTGAAACCCAAAACTAGGGTTTGAAAACAGCATTGGCTGATGCGTTTTTGGTGCTGCTTCGGCAGAAATTCGATTTCTTCTGGAATGTATCGCCGCATGTCTTCTCGGATGGCCGCGGCCCGACACTCAAGCGCCTCTCAGAATCTTCGGATCAGCTCTTTAGGATCTTTGCTGCTGATGTTCTCTGGCACTCTATCCAAAATGTCTGCCAACTAAACAGACATCGGCACGTGCTCGCTTTCGAACAACAGATCATTCATCGCTTGCTTCCGTTTGCTGGTGTCCAGCAACGCCTCGATATCGAACACTATGGCATGAGGAAAAGTTTTCTTTTTCCTTTTCGGATACAGTGGTCTTTCTTTGAAATCATGCTCCCAACACTTGATCAGTTCGAAACCCTCGTCAAGAATCGCCCTCCTTCTATCCAACGCTCTTGCAAACTGCGTCTCTCGTGTCAGCCCTCTCCTGCCTTGCTTTGTTTTTTCGAAAGCGACCACTTCCTTGCGCCGTCCTGGAAAACACTCTGGACAGCCATGCCAATGGCAGCCATGGAACTGAAACACCGCGTTTGTTTCCCAACAAAAACCATCCACTGGATATCCTGCAATTCTTCTTTCTCCACCTTGGCCACACATTTGATGATGGATATGCACACCCCTCCATTGGCCTCGTGTTCCGTCCAGCTGACCGCCTTTCCCGCATAAGCCCTGTGGCCGTAGAACGGTTTTTCGTAAGCAGTTTCGGGCGGCTGGATTCGGTCTCCTCGACACGCCACCTTAGACACTCCTCTCGTAAAAACCTCTGCATGCCGCCGAAAATGGCGTTTTTGGTGAATCTTGCTTGACATTCGGCACATGCATAATATTTCGTCACTTTGTCGAGCTTCGTGATCAACAAAGCGTGCTCTTCGTAAATGCCAATGTCCATCTGGGGCACCCGGATCTTGTCAAAGCGTGAAAGTAAATATTTCAACGCAAAGGCTCCTTCAGCGTCAATCTCATATCCTGCAACGCCCTGCTGGAAATGATTTTCGATCAAAGAAAAATGACTTTTGTATATCCGTCCTCGAACTCGATGCTTGTCGAGAAAGCTTGCGGCCAACTCGCGAGTTTTTCTTGTGTTAGGAACACGATGCACCCCTTGATGAACTGCAATGCATCTGAAAATACAAAGCTCGTCGGCGTACCTATCAAGCGCCAACAAACACCTTTTGTGTCGAAGCCAATCTGGCAATCGCCCCGCTCCAATATGCAAAGGAGCTTGCAGGTCCTCGATAATTTTCACCTCAATCAGAAGGTTTGCCTCAAAAACCCATTTCGTTCCTGGGCGCTATATGTTTTCGCTCTGGAGGCTGTTTTCTTCTTGTTCTTCCAACAACAGTCTCGCTTCCGACATTCTTTCAAACCAGGGTCTTCTTTTATTCTGAAAATAGGCCATTGTTTCCTCCGTTTCAATGTTCCGAAGCTGATAGGCATAGCTGTGTTTGATCACAAAACTGTTTCTCACTCTCTCTTTGATTCCGCGAATCATCTGTGGAGTCAAATCGTTGTTTACATCTTTGAAAAAAAACCATTACGCGATTCTTCTTCCGCTCTCCACTTCATCCTCCCCTAAAAATTCCGCAATCAGGTTATTCTAGAGAGGTGGAAGTGTAGCTTCCTCACGTCCTTCCAAAATATCAATCCACTTTGTTGGCGCTGATTCGTCTTTTTCATAATGCATCGAATAAAAGGGATGAAATCTTTCCACCCCCATGCAGGTTTGGTGTCTTGTATCTTTTTGGTTCCCGTAGGCCGTTTTGGCTGATATGCCCTGGAAAAAAGCGGGCTCAGAAGCCTGTGCTTTGTTTCGGTAGCGATCGGTTCATGCAAAATATTTCATACCACAATTTGAAGTGATGATTCTGCATTCCCTTCCTGCAGAGGCCACTCCACATCATCGTCCGTCGTGAAATCGGCACTCAGAGCGTTCTCTGAAGCCATTATGCAGACATTTTGCCAATCTTTAATATGCTGCTCGCGATCTGTGTGCGCCACAGCAAATGCGAAAAATCTGTTCGCCATGGCCGGACCCGCAGGCGGAGTGTGCGGCATCATCGGCGAATTCATTCTCGAGAAGAAATGCCCGGCGATGCGCCAGTGCCGCCGATCCCCCCGAGTAGTAGAGTCGGGGTCACAAATGTGTATACTTTTTTGCGCTCGTGGACTACGGAGGGCGAGCAACGTGATCCCTCCGTAGTCCACGAGCCCACAAAAAACGTGTACACATTTTGACCCCGACTCTACTACTTCCCGCGATATTTGACTTGTTAAAAGTACATGTATGAGTAGACAAGTGTTTAGAAACGTGGTGGAGGTCTTCTAAAACCTCTGTTTTTGAAGTACGAGCACAACGCCAAAACGCCTGAAAATAGGTGTTTTTTTCAAACGAAAACAAATTAGCGTAGAGGAGGTCATAGTAAGAATACTTAAATATTTAACATTAGGACTGTAATGCCAAACTCTTGCATTTCAGAGAATGCCACGCAACAGGAACACGCAGATCTTATATCAGAGTTGGAGCTAATGAAGACCATTGGAAAACACAAGAACATAATCAATTTGATTGCAGCCTGCACTCAAGGAGGTTAGTTGACGGAGAAAACATGTCATGTTTAACTGACGCGAATCGTCTTTGACGGAGTGGAGAAACTGGAGTTTTCTTTTGCCGCAAACAAGAGAAAATTTATCCCTTCTCTAAACTTGACTAACACTCTTTGCCATGCTGGGTAATCTATTTTTTATAACGTTATGGCTAAGATTGAAAAACTGGTCATGAGAACATTGTATCCAGCCTGAGACAAAAATATACAAGCACTTTTATTCACTACTTCTGCACTTGTGTTTGCTTAAATCAAAGTCGGTATTCAGAAGTTATATATTACTTAAAGTAAGAACATTGCAGATAATTTAAACAAGATAAAGACATAGAATTCCGAAGATTTCGCATAATTAGACGTGTGTGTTTTTTTAAAAGAATGAATTTTTAAAATGGTAAACCGTTATCATTTCTCTTTATCCTCAGGTCCGCTGTATGTAGTAGTAGAATACGCTCCGAATGGTAACTTGAGACAATTTTTGAGAACAAGGAGGCCTACCAGGGAATACCCCACCCTATTAACTGCATTGAGAGAGAGGGGGCCAGTCAGAAAGAACGGTTCAACACTGACGCACATGGACCTGGTTTCCTTCTCTTATCAGGTCTGCAGAGGAATGGAATATCTTTCTTCGAAAAAGGTATGTGCGGTAGTTTTCAGATGACTGAATGAGTGAGCGTCCTACACACACTATGGCCAAACTCATAGGGATATGAATACACTTCAGGATAGCTCGGGTGTTGCTGTCGATACAAATTTTATGCCATAGCACCCTTGAGACTTAACGCACGTGAAAGTAGTTTACTTAACACTGGAAAGGTGTCGTGCCTCTCCGAGATGAGCTGTACAATTTACTTTATTTAGTCTTTTGCAAGCAAGCCAGAGCAAGTAAGTATCACTGCATTGTCCAAAGTCTCTAAGGGGGTAAACAGGAAGTGAAAGCTGCCAATACAAGCAATACGGTACGTGGTCCTTGGTCCGCGACTAAAAGGTATTATCATGAATAACCTTAAACTGTAACGAGCTGAAATACCTCCTGAGGATAGCTTTGATCTTCCTCTCGATAATCGTGAAGTTGCAAGTTCCAACCTTAAGTATTTTGCTTGTAATTCGAAAAAAGACGATAGTGCTCGATGGTCCTTGGTCCTCGACTAAGTAAAGCAGCACGAAAAAAACGTGAGAATGCGATAGTTTCCACAAGAAAACGTAATTTTCACAATATTTGCATTGCATTTTTTCTATTCTTGATGCAATAAAGCTATAGTTTTTTTTCGGAAGTAGTTGTGAGTATAAAATAATCTGCTTTTCTTTCAAAGACTTCAGACAACAGTCTCCCATACGAGCGGTTTTCGGGGCGGTCGAAAATAATTACTAAAAATTCTGTTTTTATTGAGGTTTTAAGAAAAGAGAACTTGTAAACATGTAGAGGAAGATTTTTAAAACATTTTCGAAAACAAAGGCAGTCTCCGCCCTCTATTTTGCGAAATGTAATTCCACCCAGGTCACAGGTCGCCGACCAAGGACCACAGTACGCGAAATTTCAATAAAACAGAAAGAGGCTGCAGCAATGTGCCTCCAACGGCAGAAATAGGTTTATCTGAAAACCTGTTCTGTAAAAAGGCACGTCTTCCCGTTGCGTTTTTTGTTCACAAGCAAGGTAAACATGACCATGCAATTTACGGTGCCTCAAAAGTCCAAACTTCAAAAAAGATGAATTAACCTACTTGTCAACAAACTTTAATTTCGCGCCTTCTCCCAGAAGAGGAAAGCCGAAACTTCGTCATATGAAAGAATGCTACTGAATCATTAAATCATCGGACCTGTCATTTTCCTCCGTATTTTATTTCTCGACGAAATATTTAATCATGTTCGGAAAAGGCGCTGACCAAGGACCACACACAGTAGCGATGGGGTTTGTTTGATCCCTCCTGAAAATAAAGAAAAAAATGTTTAGCTAAGGAATGTAAAGATCTACCTTCGTTGAGTTTCAGGTCATTGTTGCTTACCCTGTAGTATCTACGGTCTCTATTAACGACACTATAATCACCTCCTCCCAATTCCACCCATACTTTCCTATTATCGTCGTTAAGTTCTCTTATTTTGTTGTCTAGAATAAACCAAATCCGAGTGCGATTACTTGTACAGCAGTCTGCATTCTCGGAGCTCAGAAGGATACCTCATGGGCCCTACACACTGAGGATACCTTATCTTAGATTTTTAAGTTTTAAAGAAAATTAAGAAAGACGAAAAACCAAAGTATAGAGGGGCAGTCAGAAAACCATTCTAAATCAGTGCTTAACCTAGTCATTATACATCAGTACAATACATAATCGAGTTTCCAAAACATAAAAGAGTTTCCAAAACAGTATAAAGCTAACTATTCTAAATCAATGTTTAACCTGAATCACTATATATCAGTGCAAACCATAATCATAGCTCTGTTGTTTTACTCCTTTCCCGAATAACGTAGGTTTCCTTCTTCTTGATCTCCTAAGAAATAAGCATTATTCCTTCTTAAAAAGTGATAACGAATATTACGTTGTCTAAACCTTATAAGGTGTCTAACCTCCTTTTGAGCTATAATAATTTAGACTCTTCCTACTTGTATTGTTTCCTGAAAAATTATGTGATATTGCTTTTATTGGATCGGTTCTAATGCGCGAGCAAAGGGGGCGCGTATAATGTTTAAAGTTGATTAAGTCAATTAAAGTCAATTACACCTGACCTACGCCGCATCCGTACACGTGCTACGAGCAGAAAATCAACACAACCGCTGCACATGGACCGTTGTCATTTCTCACCTTAAGGACCTCGGGCCGTACTAATTTGAGTAGCCTTGGGCCCGTGTTTTGTGTCTGAGCAATTTCTATTTAATTTACACTGGATTTCTGTGGCTGCTCTAAAATCCATCCGGTATAGTCTGATTATGGTTATGATAACTACAAACACCAACTTGGTCGAACCTTCAAAGGCAATATAATCACAAGAATTATAAGTTATCAGAAATTCGAGTTATTAGGGGACAGGAAAAAAATAAATGACAGGAAATAGGGAAATAAGACAATCAATTATATCAGCTGCGTTCTTGACTGACTTCACTAGAGCCTCAGAGGTCTTTTTTCGCTAAGGAGCATCGGCTGGAAAAAAGCCCATTCCATTCCCATTTTCGCACCGGCCGCGGTCGGCTCGTCCCAATCTAGAGATTGGGCAACTTTCCTAAGCTCCTCTTTGGCTGCTTTCAACTGAGTACTATTATCTGAAATCAATTTCCCAGCGTATCCTCTGAGTGACTCAAAGTTCCTTAAGACCATTAAGAACTTGTCAGGGCTGTAATCTGGCGCCAAATCTACGAGGACTGCTCGAATGCCAAGGTAGTTCAAGATGACACCATACGTCTCGCTTATAGTTCGCTTCTGGACTTCACGTTTTTCTGCGTACTATTTTGGTTGCATGTCAAGCATTGGGTTGAAAGAGATTTATTACAAACAAAGAGTACAAAAAACTATATCTTTGTAATGAGAACGCATGCCACTCAATTTTATTCAATAGAAATTCTGAGGCTCCAGTTATGAGAGATAACCTATAAATGCAGTGAAAAAGTATTAGAGGTTTGAATTGCTTATTTACACGAGACTTAATTTTCGCCATTTCAAAAAATCAGCGGCTTAGAAGAAGGATGCAGTAGTTTATGTGAAAGAGATACCATTTTTAACTATGGAAGGTACTTGAAAGGGGTACCTTTTTTGTAATGGGACTGGACCTTTGGTGTGGAGCCTCCCCTTATCAGGTTTAAACTTGAATTAGGGGTTTTCTTTGTCAAAACAAAAATCATGCTGTTAGATTCCTTTTGTAATTGTTGTTTTCAGTTTTGTTACTTTTACTGTTCAGGTTTGTCATGCATTTAAGTATGGACCAAACCCAGGGGGACGTTGATTCGCTTTTGCGCGAGCTACGAGTTACCAAGGGCTCGATCTTTGGGAAGCCGTCTGTTTGCATGAAAAGGGAAGTCGCCAGCTAAGGCTAAGGTCAATAACAAATTTCTTATCTTTTTCTTAGTGTATTCATCGTGATCTTGAGGCCAGGAACGTCTTAGTTGCTGAAGATAATACCATGAAAATTGCAGACTTTGGTCTATCTAGACAAGTGCATCCAAAGGGTTATTACAGAAAAACAAAAGAAGTGAGTAGCACATAATATAGTTTGCTTGAAACACCTAAAATGCATATGTTTAATTTTCAAACGAGAGGATACAAGGTCTCAGTGAATTTCAGTTGTGAAATACCACAACCCCCCCTTTAAGAAGATAACGCATTGCCGTAAGAGGAAATTAGTTTTTCCACTCGGTGTTCTGACTGATAAAACTGTTAATTACAGTGCAACCTGTATTAAGCGGACACCGTATTAAGCGGTCACCCTTTATAAAGCGGACAGTAGCCGAAGTCCCAAAATTTATTTCCCTTATTTACTTTAAATGAAACCTTTATTAAGCGGACGCGGACACCTCAAACGTACCTGAAATAGTCATTTCTATTGTTACCAACATTTATTAAAAGGACACTTGTAATCAAATTCCACTACCCAACATGCCAGACACCGGAAATGCGAAAGATTACCTTGAATTGCCACCCACAACGTTTTCAATCTTTACATTAAAAAACGTGACTTGACGAACTTATTGGATTAGTTTCACAGTACAGTATTGTTTCCTATTTCGTTTTGTTTGTATAGAGCTTGTTTCACTCTTCTGATTTCTTCTTAGAGTTGCAATCTATGTTTATGGTACTTTGACCAATTGGTCCACTTTGATAAAGAAATTAATGCAATCGTAAATCGTCAGTCTCTGGGAGTACGTTTAACATTTCTACTGTACATTTGAATGGCATTTGACATCTCATATGACATTATCTATCGAAACCTGTATTAGGTGGACACCCTGTATTAAGCGGACACTACAGCATTCCCCGAGGGTGTCCGCTTAATACAGGTTTCTCTGTAGTTAATTTTCATTTTTACTTCCCGTCCATGTGGTTTTTTCATCTTTACCATTGTAACGGAACCTTCGGACCATTCTTTCCGGCTGGCCTTTGTGTATTCCTCGCCGTTGTTTTGATCATGCAAGTTAAGTCATTTTAAACGAGGTTAATTTCAAAGGTTTCTATCTTTTTTTTTTCTTTTTCGAACAACCACAACGTTACATTGCGTTATATCAGGATCAGCAATTTTCTTTTCCTGAACTTAAAACTACGGTTTTTCTTCAATAATACCCTGTTTACATGAGGGAGGGTGCCCCTTGTTAGTAAGGTCATCCTGGGTAGTGGAGTTCCTTTCTCCTTTGTTTCACGCAGCTCGTTTTACATGCACAGGACAGTGCCTCTTGAGGTTTCCCTACCTTCTTTCTGCAAACTAAAACCTGACAAATATTTTCGTAGATATCAACTCGAAAGATTGGCAGAAAACGAACCTGACAGAAAGGATTTTATGAATGAGGGTCAAACCAAGGAAACCACTGTCTAGGTCAAAACAACCGAAAAGCAAGCCCAGAATGAGAGCGCGCAATCTTCAATCAATAATTTAGCCCCCCGGTGTAGAGACTTTTCAGCCCATGTAAAACGCCCGTAAAATCTTTTTAAACTGCAAGGGAAGGTGCTCCTACCATGTTCAAACTGTGCTTGAAGAGCGACGGTAACTTTATTGCCGGCAGCTACGGTCCCCCTGACCCTCAGGGGCACCCTTTTCCCATGCAAACAGGCCCTAAATCACGATTTTAATGATAACACGTTCTGTATTTTATTTTGCGATACGTTTTATATTAGGGACTTCTTCCAGTCATGTGGATGGCCGTTGAATCCCTCTTTGATTGCGTCTATAATACACAAAGTGACGTGTAAGTACCTTGAAATGCTGATTAGTCCCTGTTAAGTAGCGAGGTAAAGAATTGTTTTGTAGTTAACCTGCTCTAATCTAATTTGTAGTGTCACATTTTAAGCCACATTCAGCCACAGGGAAGCCTGCTAACCAGCTTTCCTTTTGTGGGATACCCAAAGCGGATTGCAGCTGATCTGCAGTTTGGTTTTTTGAAAACTGTTCAGCCTAACAGTGTCTAAAGGTTTGTTTCCGTTATCTTATGAATTTAAACGATGACGCGTAGGAGACTTGTTCTGAAGCTGTGGTTTTGCTATTTAGACAGTAATTTCTTCGCACTGAACGTTAAGTTTGAAAGCAAATAAGTGGTAAAACTAAAAAACAAAATGGACTAAACTGCCTCGGCACGGTTGATAAAGCCAGAAGAAGTTTTAATGTGTTGTTCCTCTTTCATCAGGTGGTCCTTTGGAATACTTTTATGGGAAATGGTTACTTTTGGTACGTAAGTAGCATTTTATATTCACAAGAAAAAAAGAAAAGGAAAATTTCCCATAAGAAATTTTCCTAGGAAAAAAAATAACCTTTTCACATTTTTTCTAGTTGATAATTGTCGCAATTTTTTTAACATCTTTTAAATGCTCTTTTCTAGGAGGGACACCTTATCCTGGCGTTTCTTTAGAAAAACTGTTTGAGCTTTTAAAATCTGGATACCGAATGGAAAAACCACTCAACTGTCCAGAGAACATGTAAGTAGCCAAACAAGCGTCAATTATACCGGAGCACCATGGGTAAGAAAATTTGGTAAACTATCCATCCCAGAAAATTTGGTTATGACGTAGCGTACGTCCGTCCGTACGGACTTTCCGGGTAGTGGAAAGTAGTCCGCATGTACTCTTGGGGTAGGGGAAAGTAGAGATTTTTTGGCGAGAAATCGCATGGCGCAACGTCGCGCAATTATATCGCGCAACTGGTTTTGAAAAAAAGAAAGCAAGTAGAAAGAGTCAGAGCGAGAAGAAGGAGAGAAAATTATAGTGAAAAACGCCGGCAAGTAGAACGAGACAGTGCTAGAATGAACAGACAAAGGCAACGCGAAAGAGAAATACAAAGGCAAAGAGAACGGCAGCAAAATAATGACATAATGACAGAAAGTGTTGTGTTAATGTCACTATGGCCCCGCGCTATTAACATTTTGATTTCAAACTGATCTCGGACTCGAAAATTC